AGTCATGTCATCTTCTTCTGGTTGCTGCACAATGGTGGATGGTGGGGTTTCACTGAACTAGGGCTTATTTTTGGGATAGGGCTTATATTACGTACATCCTGAAAAAATCAATCTAGGGCTTATTTTCAGGTTAGGTCATTTTCAGGGAAATGGTAGGTAAGCTAATTGTAGGTAAATTGACAGGGAGATATCCTTGGTTAGCAGATGTGGTCCTCATGTTGCAGTCCTGCTAAAGGGCCATCTTTGATTGTAGGTGGTGCTGTTTAGAGTATCTTGCAAAGTTCAACAAAAATTATTTTGAGATTTTAAAAAATTATAATTTCAACAACAATGCCTCCTATAGAAATGCATTTTAAAGATGGCTGAGTTGTCAGAGATGTGGCTCTTGGTCATAATGGTAATGTTGGTCTCTGCTCTGTGACATGGATCTTGTGATCGTGTTTCATGAGTGGTCGTAAAGCGCTGATACTGGAGGTTTCCAACAGGATGAAAATTTGTATTTATCAATGATCCCCTTCCCCCTGTCCCAAACCTGTGCCTGCATCTTTAAAGATGGAAGGAGCGAACATTGGAATCGCCCCCTCAGCTTCATTGTTTATGAGCCCCATGTTCAGAGTGACTGTTCTTGTCCTTGAGAATAAGAAAAGCTTTGGAATTAGATAGGATGGCTATAGGTGTGAACTTTCCCCATCATTCCTGTAAATGACAAGACACCCTGCACACACGGTGGATCATAGTTGTCGTAGCCCTCGAGCCAATCTACAGCTAGGTGTTCTCATTCTGATTGATTTGTGGACTGAACTTGGAAAGATTTGCTTTTGGGGAGCTTACGTCTCCTAGATACCCCTCAGCTAGTATGGCCTGTGTCTACACTGGTTGGGGAAATCTAGGAGTTGAAGTCCAGACAAAAGTAATATTTTGGTTTGTGGATCAGCAGGTGTTACTCTTCTGCTACAGTAGCTCTGGATTTTGCAAAATGCTTTACAGATAGATAAATGTGTATCTTCCCCTTCAAGGCAAAGGAAGGCACTATGTTTCTGGAGGCTTATTATATTCCCCCCCCCTTTTTTTTTGAGGCTCTTTTGTTCACACTGTTACCCTGCTCTGTACCTAATCTCAGTACCTCAAGTGAAACTTCTGCACAAGCCCCATTAAAAGTACAGTACATGGGCCTCGCACAGGACTAAGGTATTAAACTCTGTATATTCCTTCAAAAATGGAAGAAGGAAATATACCTATCTTTTCTATATTCATGATTTCCTGCAGGGCTCAGATCAGGAAGACAAAGTGAGGAAGTAATTTGGGAGTGATATTTCATGTAGACTGAGAAGGGGGAAAGAGTAGTGAGGTATAGATCTGATTTTTGTTCATGATATGTTAAAAAGAAGCAAGTCTGAAACCATTCCTCCAGATTAGTGAGAATAAGCACCAATGAGATCTCCTTTTGAAAAACAGCAATACCCTACTGTTAAATGAATATTTTCTTCAAAGCCAACTTACACATCAGTTAATTTTTATTGCTATTATATTATAATTATTATAATTATTATAATTATTATTGGGGGGTATTTTCCTGGGTTTTTGTTTTGTTTTGTACCTCTCCACACTAAACTGCGCAATACTGTGGGGGGTGGGGAAGAAGCCATTAATTAAACCAGAACTGTCGAAACCACCCCCTTCTCAGCCTGGATGGGTCACTCGGCCGACATCTTCCGAGCAGGCTGTGATACATGGCTTCTGTCTTGGGAAGGGGGTGCAGATTTGACAGACTTGCTTTTTTTCATTTAAGCATTAATGTTACCTTTTTGTATGGGGGTGTGTGAGCTTGTTTTTGTATATCTGTGATAGCCGCTTTTGTGTGTGCTCTGAGCTGGAAACAAGGGGTCAGCGGGGCAAGGAAGCCCTTAGAAACTGCAGCCAATAACTGGAAGAAGATGTTAAAAAATCTCCAACAGAAAAAAAAAATGTAGCAAATAATTTCCCAGCACCCTGCCGGGACATCTGCTAGCAATAATCACTATTGATTTAAAGCTTTATTTAGCCTTTATCTATATCCTAGTAGATTATTAAATCTTGCCACATTTTACTGATGTTTTTATTAGTTGCATTTGATGGAGGAAGAAAAACGTGTATTAATATGGGTTGATAAATGTTTTCAGACTTGGTCCAAGCCAAAACCAGGAAAAACAAAATTTTCAACCTCATTTGCTTGTAATTCTTCATTTTCCTCCCATGTTGGCAGTGATTATGTTCTAGCTGCTGTCATTTTGTAAAAGGCTCTTTCTGGCCATTGTGGACTTAGAGAGTATACAGAAAGAGTTGCATAGCGACTTTAAAACCTATGGAAATTATGCACCCACTGTTATATATATGTGTTTGATTCTTGCTTCAATATATTATTGTTATTTTAATATTTTATAAAAATTTGTCAGTTTGCTAGTCTCTGCGTTCAGCAGAAACCAATGGGCAATATTTGCCCACGGAGATGTACAACGCAGCTTGGATTGCCTGCTTAAATACTTCTGATCTAATCTCTCATGACTCTCCCTATTGGGTTTGCAGCTCTTCTACTGTATTTTACATAGAACCCTCTTCCTCTGACTACAGAATCAGATGGAGGCTAACTCTGTTTATGTGGTTGGCCCAGGAAAACCAAACACGTGTTCTAGTGGGTGAGTGAATGGGGGAAAGAAATTTCAGCAGCAAGCTCTATCTGTGTTTTGACACACATAAAAACTATATATAAGTAGGCTTTGCATGCCCGATTGGAAACCTGGAACAACCGGGGTCACTATTTGATGGATGGGTCTGCACACTTGTGTGGAATTAGTTCACAAAGCCTACTCCACAGACATAGGTGAGATGTGCTGTTATGATTTCAGCTCCCTTCTCCTGCTTGCCAGTACTTTATCTAGACAGGTTTCATTAGCTTCAACAGTTACCGGAACTGCACAGGGGTTCATCTCAGTTATGACAGCTCAGTGCAAGTAGTGAAAGGGAGAAGGATTGAATGAATGCATAGTATACTGGGATGAAGAGGAATGTGAGTGAAAGATGGCCCTACCCATTGCATGTAGAAGGCAGTGCAAACACCATGTTTATGTTGCTTGAATCTATAATTATTGCATTTTGTTTTATGTTAATAAGCAAGATAATACCGTCTTCCAGAAGAAGTATAGAAAAGAATAATTAAAATTTTAAAGCCTTAAATGATCTTGCTACCTTAATGTGCTTTAAAGCAAGAAAATAAATACTACTGCCAATAAAACAATACAAATTGACAAAATAAATTTGCTTCCCAGAATTGCTGGAGGTCTTCATAAATGTTGAAAACTAGGATTGGACTGCATATCCTGCTGCTGGCAACAGGAAACATTGGATGCCTCCAATGCAGGGACTGTGATCCACAGAACAGTTAAGCCTGGTGTGCTGGGATGTAAGCTTCATTTCCGCCCTGAACCGAATCTCTATTTAATTTTATTTTGAGATTTTAAAAAATTATAATTTCAACAACAATGCCTCCTATAGAAATGCATTTTAAAGATGGCTGAGTTGTCAGAGATGTGGCTCTTGGTCATAATGGTAATGTTGGTCTCTGCTCTGTGACATGGATCTTGTGATCGTGTTTCATGAGTGGTCGTAAAGCGCTGATACTGGAGGTTTCCAACAGGATGAAAATTTGTATTTATCAATGATCCCCTTCCCCCTGTCCCAAACCTGTGCCTGCATCTTTAAAGATGGAAGGAGCGAACATTGGAATCGCCCCCTCAGCTTCATTGTTTATGAGCCCCATGTTCAGAGTGACTGTTCTTGTCCTTGAGAATAAGAAAAGCTTTGGAATTAGATAGGATGGCTATAGGTGTGAACTTTCCCCATCATTCCTGTAAATGACAAGACACCCTGCACACATGGTGGATCATAGTTGTCGTAGCCCTCGAGCCAATCTACAGCTAGGTGTTCTCATTCTGATTGATTTGTGGACTGAACTTGGAAAGATTTGCTTTTGGGGAGCTTACGTCTCCTAGATACCCCTCAGCTAGTATGGCCTGTGTCTACACTGGTTGGGGAAATCTAGGAGTTGAAGTCCAGACAAAAGTAATATTTTGGTTTGTGGATCAGCAGGTGTTACTCTTCTGCTACAGTAGCTCTGGATTTTGCAAAATGCTTTACAGATAGATAAATGTGTATCTTCCCCTTCAAGGCAAAGGAAGGCACTATGTTTCTGGAGGCTTATTATATTCCCCCCCCCCTTTTTTTTGAGGCTCTTTTGTTCACACTGTTACCCTGCTCTGTACCTAATCTCAGTACCTCAAGTGAAACTTCTGCACAAGCCCCATTAAAAGTACAGTACATGGGCCTCGCACAGGACTAAGGTATTAAACTCTGTATATTCCTTCAAAAATGGAAGAAGGAAATATACCTATCTTTTCTATATTCATGATTTCCTGCAGGGCTCAGATCAGGAAGACAAAGTGAGGAAGTAATTTGGGAGTGATATTTCATGTAGACTGAGAAGGGGGAAAGAGTAGTGAGGTATAGATCTGATTTTTGTTCATGATATGTTAAAAAGAAGCAAGTCTGAAACCATTCCTCCAGATTAGTGAGAATAAGCACCAATGAGATCTCCTTTTGAAAAACAGCAATACCCTACTGTTAAATGAATATTTTCTTCAAAGCCAACTTACACATCAGTTAATTTTTATTGCTATTATATTATAATTATTATAATTATTATAATTATTATTGGGGGGTATTTTCCTGGGTTTTTGTTTTGTTTTGTACCTCTCCACACTAAACTGCGCAATACTGTGGGGGGTGGGGAAGAAGCCATTAATTAAACCAGAACTGTCGAAACCACCCCCTTCTCAGCCTGGATGGGTCACTCGGCCGACATCTTCCGAGCAGGCTGTGATACATGGCTTCTGTCTTGGGAAGGGGGTGCAGATTTGACAGACTTGAACTAAATGTTATGCTGCAGGAAAAAAAATGTAGCAAATAATTTCCCAGCACCCTGCCGGGACATCTGCTAGCAATAATCACTATTGATTTAAAGCTTTATTTAGCCTTTATCTATATCCTAGTAGATTATTAAATCTTGCCACATTTTACTGATGTTTTTATTAGTTGCATTTGATGGAGGAAGAAAAACCTGGTTTTGTTCTGTTGTTTTGTTTCCCCTCTTGTTGCCCCACTCCTTCCTCCTCACATTCACAATCCCTTCCCTCTCTAATATTAAACTGTGAAATTTATAATATGTTTTAAACTATGGGTGACTCTTAGGCTTAGTTTTGCATGTTCAGCTAATTTGTTTCTCTACATCTTTTTGATTTTTCATTTTTCCCCTCTTTTTCTCAGGGCTTTTTTAAAAACAACAACAACAGTATATTATTCTGAAATTCTCTTGTCAGTTTTGCAATAGAGCTAATGGTGAGTGCTGAATCACTACAATAAGTGCTTGACTGTGAAAGCATAAAAAAGACAAGGAAAACAGATTAAAATAGAACTGATGTTTGCAGTTATAGTTACATAGCTGTTCTGGAGCTAGCTCTGAGGCTGGTTTAATTCCCACCTCCAAGTGATGCAGATTTTTTTTCTCTCTCTCTCTCCTTTTCCTCAATTTCTGAACCTCAGTTCTTCCATTATCCTAAAGCGGGCGCTGGAATACCTCTTATGTTCCACTATGAGCCTGTCTTGTTGCCCCCTGTTGGTCAAATTGTGGAACTGTGGTGTGAAATTAGAGAGGACAAAGCTGGCAGGGCATTAGATCCTCTGTCACCAGGTTGAGCTTGTGGTCCTCTAGCTGTTGCTGGACCTCACCATTAACTGTGCTAAGGCTGATAGGAGTTGTAGTCCAGCAACACATGGAAGGCAACAAGTTGCCCACCCCTGCTGTAGCCCCTAAAAACAACTGAAGAGGCAAAAAGATCTTTAAAAAGAAGTAAAGGTATACACTTGCATAATGCAACAAATCCTTGCCTCCATTCCTTTCAGCCATATAGAATACAACAACGCTGCTGAGGTTGTCCCCTCACACCCTCCCTAGTTCTGCAAGAGTTGGAAGGGACGGCACGAGGGTGTTGGTGCAGGGGCTCTCTGTCTTCTCATCTTTCTCCGTTCAGTAAGGAAGTTTCCATCCCATGCAAGGAAATGACAATTAGCATTGTAGAATCCATATGTATACATATATAAATTCTTTTTGAAAGGGAACGTTTAAAAAACTGCTGCTACAAGTTGTGTACAAGACTGGTTTATGCCACATGAACAGAGAATCACAGATTTTGTTTGGGTACTTCTATTCTTCTTCTCATTCAGTTGTACGTTACTTCCAAATTCAAAATGATGAAAATAATGCTGTTCTGTATCAAACAATCTACGCAATAAAATGTTATATAAAAAAAAAAACAAATGTGGAGGTTGGAAAACAGACATCAATTTTTTTCCCCATTTTCTGAGTCAATATTCTTATGCATTTGCTGTTGGTGAGTGTGTGTTTGTGAGGTGACCTTTCTGACTGAAACAGAAAAAGAAAGGTTACACGGCAATCGTGTTGACCTGGTACAGGTCATTCATATTCTTTTCTCATCTTTCGGGCTTCTCCTAAGGGCAGAATCGTAGTAGAATCAAAATTAGGAACAGTGGTTTTTTCAAAGAGTTAAAGGCCTTTGGTTTTTTCATACCATAAAGTTTCAAAAACAGCTTCACAAGCTGCAAAGTAGCTTGTTCTTACTCAGTGGTTGGTCACTCAAAAATAGACACAGGAATCATCTGCAAGTTGATTGTGCTGGAAACTTTGAAAAATCCATGTTTGGAGGGACAATGTTTTATCAGCCGATTGTGAAGTTCTTTTTGTTTTCTGCTCTAAGTTTTTTTAAAGAGGTTCTTTATCATTCACAAGCCCAAATACTTTGCATATTTGGATATTACTGCTGGTGGCTGAAAGTGCATAAATGCCATCCACCACTTGGATCAGTTACATCTTAGGAGTAGAACTCTCTGAATCATTTAGGCCAGTGGTTCCCAACCTTGGGCCTCCAGATGTTCTTGGACGTCAACTCCCAGAATACCTGGCCAGCAGCAGTGGTGGTGAAGGCTTCTGGGAGTTGTAGTCCAGGAACATCTGGAGGCCCAAGGTTGGGGACCACTGATTTAGGCCACTGGCTCTGCTGGTTGAAAGGAATTTTAGTCCAAGAAAGGCAGTTTTCCAAATCTTAGGTTACTTTCTCTAGAGAACTATTTTATTTATTTATTTGGATATACACTTTGTTCCCCAAGCTGGTTTGTAATGGATGTTACTGTGATTGTGCTGTCAGGTTGCATCCCACTCATGGCAGCCCTATGAATGAATGAGTTTCAAAATGTCCTGCCGGTAATTTGGAATCCTCTGTGTCTTGGTCGTGGAACAGAAACTAGAAAAAAGCATAGAATCATAGAATAATTGTGTTGAAAGGGCCCTATAAAGCCATCAAGGCCAATCCCCTGCTCAGAGCAGAAATCCATGTCAAAGCAGATCTGGCAGTTGATTGTCCAATGCATCCTGCATTGTTTCAGGGCTTGATAAATCTTAAAAGGAAAAGAATTTCAGGGGGAGCCAATAGGAATGCCTACACTTTCTCCCTGTAGACCTTATTTCATAATTGATGGCACCAGCTCTCTCATTCAACAGAATGACGGGGGCTACCTTGGGCAGCTGATGGGGACAAAGGTTGGTGCATGAACCAGATTTGCCTAGCAGCTTCCAAGCTACTCTTTTGGCTTCCAGTGTAGTGAAAACATTACGTTACAGTTCGAGTAGATTCAGTTGCCAGTCTCATTGGCTTCTGAAAATGAAATGGGAGTGATGGTGAGATCTCAGGCAGCTATGTTTCTTTGATCAGCCCTGTGCACAGATTTGCTGTTAAGAAACTAATTCTGAAAGGGTTGGCAACTTCCACTAGTCTAGCATCCAGGTTTGTCCTCAGGATCTTAGATTGACTGCATCTCCCTCCAAAACAGCTGAACCCCTAAATTGCAAATTTCACTCCGTGACTCTGGGAAAAGGCTCTCCAAGGTCTAAAACTGGCCTTAGGGGTGAAAAAAAGTCAGAAACAAGATCCATGTTCTTTTCTCTATTTTATTTTCCTTCTCGCTTGTCATTATCATCTTTGTAATATCCAGTGCATCCTGAACTGTGATTCATACTTGCTGAATTTTGTTGTGAAATGTTATTCTCATGGATCCATTTTCCAGCTGCTTAAGGAAATCCTTTTGAAAGAAGGTGTGTTTGGGGGGGATGTTCCTAAGGGCAGTTTTACTTGGGAAAGACCAGAAGGAAATACCATGGTTTAGTCATCATGTTTATAAATGGACAGGCCTTGGACATATATTACCCTGTTGGCCAGATGTGCTAGATAATGGGGCCCAAAACCTAGTGTGTCTGCAATTAAGGAGCCATGCAGAATGTGTGCTTACTGATTTAACTAACTATAATAGACTTTTGATTTTACTAAATCTAATACATAAAAGTGAAGTGAAAGAATTTATAGAGCCCACTTAAATCCCCAAGTTACTTACTACAGGGTGTCAAGCTAAAATATTCAGAAGGTTCATACACAACATGGTGCCCTCCAGATGTTGTTGGACTCCAGCCAGAAAGGTCCCAGCAGCCAGACTTGTGGTCTAAAACATCACCATTGCTTGAGGTGCAGTCTTCCAGAGCAATATCAGCACTTCAGGCTGGACAGAAGACAAGATACCTGAATTATCTGTCTTCTGGATGGAATTCCAGAGTTGTTGGAAGTAAAGAGTTTGTCATCCTTTCAAGGTGGTTTTCTCCATGTGTGAAGTGTTTATATATAATAATTCAACCAAGCATTTCTCAGCAGTGCCCTCTGAAGTCCCAAGGGAATTGTATCAAGATATTTACGTATGAGCATAGTAGCTCTCTGCTTTTATAAATGAGTCTCTGTGAGATTAAATACAGGAAAAGGGGAACTGTTCTTAGGTTCCAAAGAGAGGCATTATCTTGACCAAAGCTGTTTTTTCTACTAGGCAAAACTTTTTAAGACCAAGAATGGGAGAATGGGACAGGCGTCTTCCCAGTGACAATTTCCTGTAAAAAAAAAAAGCGGGGTGGTTGGGTGGGGAGAGGTGTGTCATACCACCTCAGAAACCCACTGAGGTTATGTTCAATACACACAATGAAGGAATGATGGCCAAGGTTCCACACATAATAGGAAAAGGCTAGCAGCCTTTTATTGAGGTAGGCTTTAAAAGTTTATCCTAATAGATAAACTTTATCCTATCAGATACCTGCATACCACAGCTGTGAGACAGTAGGACCCCCATACCCGTGGAATCAGTGTCCATGCTTTCACTTATCCAGTCTGAAAATATATACACACACAGTGGTGCCCCGCAAGACGATTGCCTCGCTGGACTAATGGGTCTGGCGAGGGTTTTGGTTCCTCACAAGATGATTTTTCCTATGGCCCTGTTTCGCAAGACGAAGCCCTGGGAGGCTTCTCAAAGTGGTGCTTTGCTGTGTGGGGGGGCGGTGTGTGTGTGCTCTTCTCCGCTCCCACCCCGCCTCACAGCTGATCGGCACAGGGTGTCAGAGGCTTCTCCGGGCTTTCCCAGCAGGTAAACAGGCAGTGGAAATGCACCCAGGGGGCTTTGCCACGGGGTGGGTGGGTGGGTGGCAGGGGCAGGCCCGCCATCCCCTGCCCCCCCCACAGCAAAGTGCTGCTTCCAAAAGCCTCCCGGGGCTTATTCAGCAATTTCTGAATCACTGGAGTTGCATTTGCCCAAAATTACAAGTGTGGACTTGTCAATTAGCAAGCTGTTCTGAGTTATACCATTTACAGATGTAACTACACAACAAGATTGTTGCTTCTGAGTTTGTCAGCACTTGGGAAAACACTGTGGCTGTGCCTCCTTTTGGCAGCCACTTATTTGCCTGGGACTCCTATGCCCCAATTTGGTTGTCCTCTCTGGATCCATCTCAGCCGGGGGCTCCTAAAGGAAGCAAGGGAGTTCCACCAAAGGCTAGATCTGTGTGTTTTCTATGCTCTGTTAGTGCTTGACTGGGCTCCCATAGTTCTATCAAACAGTGCATTTCTGTGAACAGTTGTATCTCTTCTAACCTTTTCACGAACTCTTTCCAACTGCTCCCTCACCACAATAGGTAACTCCCCATATCTCACTCACCTCCTCCTAATACTCAACCACCATCACCTTTCCCTGTTCTCTAACAGCCACTCCTCTCTTTAACCCTTTCTTTTCACTTTCTGTTGGCTGTGATAGGCGGAACCAGTGCAAACATCTCTGAAATCATACAGAACAGCCTCCTCGTAGCCTTTGGAATGAATACACACACATTTTAGAGGGTTAGGCAAACTTGTTGAATGGGATTTAAGAGGTTGTGGTGCTTGGCTCAGCTATACTCATACTTTCCTCCACAAAGCTTCAACTATTAGGACAATTCTTTGGAAACATTGTCCTAATCCAAAGAATCTGTCACCAAAAAAATCTTCAACTATAGTTCATTTGGAAGAGGAACAATCTTGCCAGGGTGGGAAAACCAGTGCTTCTTAGGCCAGTAGGCATTGGAAGCCTTCTGTTGTCAAAAATAGCAGGCTTTTGCTGCCTAAACTTCAAGTGTCATGCAAAGGAACTTGGAATTCTTGTGTGTTTTCTACATTCGGTTTGTGTGTACAAAGTTGAGAGGTGGGGGAGCGGCTAAGGGGGAAACCAAAGGGGGAAAGCATAAAGAAGTGGAACAAATAACAAAAGCATAAAAAGAATAC